ACTTACTGGAAGGAGAGGGAAGGGAAGGAAAAGAAAGGAAAAGGAAAAAAAAAAAGGAACTGATAAGATGGGGGAAGGCATGGAAAGGATCAAAAAAAGAAATTCAATAAAAAGGGCATTGATAAGAGGGGGTAAAGAAATTGATAAGAAGGGGAGGAAGGGTATTTATAGAAGGCATAAGGGACCTGATAGGAAGGTAAAAAGGGGGTGTTGATAAGAGGGAGAAAAGGGGGTACTGATAGAAGGGAGAAAAGGAAACCCAACGGAGAGGAGAAATTCCTCATTTTGAAGGGGAAAGTGGGGACTGATAGGCAGGCAAAAAAGGGAACTGCCTCTGAAGAAAATTGATTTGCTTTTCAACAGAAGGAAAATAAGAGCTCAAAGGATTAAAAAATAAAAACAAGGAAAAGAAGAAAATGAGAAATAAACAAGATGAGAGGAGTAAGAGAAAGAGAATTTTCTTAAAAATTACAAGATATAATTGCTACATAAAACTGGCCTTAACTTACAAAGGCAGTATGACCTCTTTAAAATGGGTTAATAAGTACATATATACTTTATATTTCAGAAATTATGTATATTCTTAATAAAAGAAAGAAAAAAACATCCATCCATCCATCCCATTCTTTTGGCTAACTGTAACTGTATCAGGAAACTTTCAAATCAATAATTCTTTTAGATTTTCCTAATAATATCTTTAGATAAAGAGTCATCTTTTAAGACCTACAGGAGTTCCCTCTTCTTTTGCAGATCTAAATAAAGGCAACTGATATAAATTTCTTCTTCCTTGATGCATATAAATATATATATTTTTAATATAAACACAAAAAATCAAACTAAAAAATGCTTCAAAATATATTCCATTATCATGCCATATTCTTCTTACTATTCTGCCTTATCATTAAACCTTGTCTATCAATCATCTTGTGGCAGCTATTACTTTAATACAGTTATTTATGCATTATTACTGACATATCATTTCTGTCTGCTCTTGTCTATTATCATTAACCTCCTCTGTAACTACTCAAAGAAGGTTACCATTGCATAATTTAAATTTCTATATTTGTGTTATCATCATCATTATCTTATGAGAAATTACTTTCATTTCAATAACATCCAAAATGGAATTAAAAAGATATGATGATATATTAACATCTATATCTGAAATTATATTATGTAAATATACATACACATCCATATACATATATAATGATGATCAATAAAAAAAAAAGAAATGTATACATAACAATACCAATAATAATAATAATAATAATAATAATAATAATAATAATAATAACAATAATTCTCTAATAATAACAAAGTAAATATCTGTCTATAAACTCAATGAAAAGTCTACTAAAACAAATTAACATATTACAAATGCAAATTTTCCCCAGAGATCCCCAACTAGACAATTAATATTCATAACATCTACATGTTGTGCCTGCCTGTGTGTGTTCCTCTGACATACATCAACCTCATCCTCCTTAATCAAATGTGGATGATCAAAATATGTAGCTAATCAATCATTTTCTAGTTGTCAAATATATTCTCCAGTACTTACATTTATCATCTTAGCCTTTGGTAAGTGAATAGTATTTTTATAAGAGTTTTCAACATAATCATTACACTAAATTGTTATATCCTATTTCCTTTCAGCCAATGATTATGAGAATGCTGTCCAAAATAATATGATTATAAAATTAATAGTCTAATAATAAGAAAGTTAAATATGCCTGTTTGATAAAGATTAATGCATTTAAATTCTGAGTAAATCAATAAATCAATTTCTAAATCTACTTTACTAAAAGTATAAATAATGCACATTTAAAAATTAATAACCTGGTACTGATATTCATTCATGTCATTACACATGGCAAATAATTTAAAAAATACCAATATCATATACAATTAATGGCCATAAAAAATTTAGTTGATAGTAATGCACAATTAATAAATCTGATGATAATAATAAACAGTGGACCGAATAATATCAAACAAGTACGACCCAGTGTTTGCCGTTAACCTGCATGCGAGCTGTGCAACTTGCAGCACTCCAGCAAAGGCTATCATCCCTCCCCTATATATATTCTAATGAGCCACAGCTTGTAGGTTGCCTAGGTATATTTATCACCAAATCAGGAACTAGTCCAAGCTCTTTCTTCCTAGATTTCCCATGGTGGATATTTGTTAGCCTTTGCCGGAGCACCGAAGATGCACAAAAAGCCTCAGCAAATGCTTGACACTATGCCACCGCACACTGAAGGTCTTTAGTGACAGGTTATGAAAAAAGTAATGTCAACTGGATATAACACACCAAATACAACTATGCAATAGATGTCAAATTTAGAAAGCTCTTGCCATCAATTCAAAGGATTTATCATTCATTAATATCTGATATTTTCATAAACTGACAATAAATGAAAAATAAATGGAAAAATGAAGCTAATTACCATAATTGAAAACTAGGTGACAGTCAATGGCAAAGTTCCTTCATTCGTATTTTTTTGTAATTTCTTTATATCGCCGGTGTTTTCAGAGATAATGAAGAAGAAAATTATATCTACAAAAGTTTTCACTTTTTTTTTCTTTGCTGTTATTTTTCACTTTCTTTAGGATTATGACACACACACACACACACACACACACACACACACACACACACACACACACACACACACACACACACACACACACAAAAAAAAAAAAAAAGAAAAAACTGTATGACAAATTTTCTTATCCATGTATATCACAATTATCTTTCACCAGCTCTTTGGCTTTCAACAATATTTCACCTTTCGACACTTGTTTTACTTATCTTTAAGTTTCTGATAATTTCCCTTTCTATCCAGCTTTCAGGCTTTTGACAATCTTTTTCATCCACCTTTCGGATTTTTAGCATATCTGGATTAGCGCATGCGAAACTGACACTCAATTTCAAATATTGGATATTCACATTTCGTTCCTTCTTTTTCGAAATATGCAAAAATTATAGATCATAATTCATTTAGTTTCATTATCATATAAAAATAAATTAAATACAGATATTAAATAATGTACCATAAATGATATTCATATACACAAAAACAATATACTATCTTCCCATAACTGCAAATTTATATAATCAAAATGAAGCCGGCTCCTCCATTCTCTTTCACTTTCCCCTAACCCCAAAACAGCTAAAAAAATTATGAAATCACACAAATAAAATACTCCTCTGTTAGCAAATCCAAATATAAAGATTTAACGGCAACTTTTAAAAAAAGGAATATATAGGAAGTGGAAAATTAATTCAACGATCATATGTGATGCATTACCTCTATTTGGTATGAAAAATAATATGTAATTAAGGGATATAATAAACATACGCCCTAATTTCTTGTTAGCCCTCAAAGGATGCATTGTCTTCTGCTCTGAAGCACATGTGGTGCCAAGAAACACTGCTCTCTGCTCTATTTACGTTCGTGCCAAAAAAGAGTTGTATTTCGGGAATCTATACCTCCAAGTCTACATTATGAGACTATTCTCTACATCCAAATTCTTTTGTAGCATCCTACGGGTATAGCAGTAGAGTTTATCCTGCATTCTTGCCTGCGCGCATGTACTTCAAGGGTTAACATCCATGCATCTTAATCCAGTATGTCTCAGGAAACTTAATCGACTCTGCACTTCATCCTCCGGCAAAGGTCACTGACCCTCAACCATCTATATTCTACCCAAATGAGGCTCATCAACTTCCATCGACACATCGTCAAATTGAGGGAAAAGGTCCGAGTTTTATTTTGCCAACGGTCCGGAGAGGAGGTTCGTTAGTCTTTGCCAGAGCGCAGTGGGTAGGGGACAAGGATTCTATTCTTCTAGACTGATATCCATTTGATCTCTTGTTTAGGGTCAAAGTTCATTTGTTTACATGCCTTCATAACTTTATCAATTTGTAATAAAGGACCGCATTCAACTCATAAAATCCACATGAAATGTTCTTCCCTCATGTCAGCCTCATGTTTCGATTCCCAATGTGATATCAAAATGAAGAGGAAGCATAAAAAAGCAAGTACTTTGAGAAATGACAAATAATTAAGTAATATGACTAACTGGGGATTAAGTCATGAGGAAGATTTGATGAAGAGAACTAATAAGGAACGAGTAATAAATGAGGCACAACAGAAACGAGTGATAATTGTGGAGAATAAGAGGTCGTGGTAAAGGTCATAGGCCTATTTATATATTGCATTAAAAAGTGTGTAAAGAATAATTAAATTGAAAATAAAAAGGATATTATCATCCTCCATGACATACTGAGGGGAAGAAAAGAATAAAACAGAAGGGAGAAAGAACACCGTACTTGCCCTCCCTCCGCATAATAGGAAAATAAATCTCTTACTCAAAAAGATAAATAATATTTTGAAAAATCCCTTATTTCCATCCAAGTGTTTGCACAAAACTTCGGTCCTTTTCCACCTTGGCCAATGCGTAGAATCCCTAAGAGCCGCAGGAGCCGTAGGAGTGATCAGGAGGCCAGGCCCGCCAAGCACGCCAAGGTCTTAAGGGCAAAACGCGAGAAAAGAAAATCTTTATTCGCCATCATCATGTGCGACGCCATTTTGTATCTCGCTGCCCCTGCCGCGTCACCTAGTTTTAGGGTATTTAGGGAAATTTAAAGGGTTGTTTCTTGTCGGCTTTTGCGTTTTTAGATACCTCATAGGTAGTATATACATTATTAGGAATTTGTGTATATTTTGTGGTTTTTGAAGATAAGTTTGACTAAAATCACTTTGGTAACGGAGGAACCTCTGGGCTCTTATCTCTGCCGAATGACTTTGAATCCGGATGCAGACCCTAGAATATAAAAAATCCTTCGTGTATCCCTACTAAACTTTGTCTCGATATTAAAACCCTTTTAAAATATTTCAAGATTTAATCTAAATTATTTTTACTTCTAATATCCCACGTCTTCTTCCATTAAACCCTGAAAAACGCACTTAAACCTGTCCTAAAAACTC